ACATGACATGAGTTTTGTTTTCAGGACTTTGGGGTGCAGTTTTCCCGAACCACCTGCACCTATCTCCTTGAAGCCTGGCAGGCTTCATGCCCTCAGAAGGGGCTACCATACCTGCAAGTTTCATCCAAAACAGGCCAGAATTGATAAAGTTATAGGCTGTTTTGACCTTCCCCATTATAGCCCATGGGCAAAGCATCGAAACAGTGCCAAAACGGTGAAACTGTTCCGGCGAAACGCTGTTCGAAAAGGAACAGTGCTGTTTCTCAGAGTCCTAGCAAGCAGCTCACTTCTGGTCAGGTTTAGAGGTTGCCCCTTGCAGTACCCCCACCAGAGTGTTTGCTTGCAAAGATGGTGGGGTACTGGGGGGGTGGATGAGCAAGGCAGTGAGATGTGCCCTGCTCCCTTGTATTGCAAGCATGCGGGGCTTCTGGCAGCTTTTCAACTTGGAGCCAAGCCTGCCACAGGGAGGGAGGTTTGAAGGGCCCTCTCACCCTTTGGTCCTGGTTTTACACTCATTTTACAGAACACAGGGATTTATTTTCTGTCTTGCTTTCTTTGCCTCCAGTGGTTTCTGCACTGCCCCCACTGCTGATTAGTTGTGTGGTCTCCTGAAGGTGTACTGGACCCTGTGCTTCCCTTACAATGAAGAAGAGTAAAGTCTTACCTGTAAACACAAAGCAGTTTGCTTGTTGAGGCTGCGGGACACAGACACGCACATACATGCACAAGGACACCCCCCCCCACCATGCACGCTGCAGCTCCTGCACATCTACAATGCAGGGGCTGCCTGAATCCCAGGCTGAGCAGAGGAGCCCTGACGAGACTCTTTACATTATCCTCACAAACAGGAGTGGCTTTATCCTTCTCCCCCCTCCCCTGTGGGTAGTGGACCATCACCCCTGTTTTACCACAGGGAATTGAGGCCCAGAGACGTTAAGTCTAGGAGCTAAAAGCAGAGGGACGTTGTGAGCAGCGGAACCTCCCTTGCAGGCCCCAGAACACCCGTTCCCAGCAGTCTTGAGGGGAGGATGTAGGTAGTTTTGAGGAGGCTTTGAAGTGATCACTTCAGGGTTGCCAGTGTGTGAGAGATACGTAATGGGTTTGTATCTCTCCATTACATCTCCCAGCCTGGGGATGTGTGTTGTGAACCAGTGACTAGCTTGGAAGGGCTGCAGATAGGAACGGCCGGGCTGAGGGAACCAGGTGTGTGATGAGCCGGAGCTGAGAACGGTGCTGGTGCTGCCTGCGGCGGGTCCTCGCTTTGTGTCTGGCTGCCGCTGGCCTGGCTGAATGTGAAAGGACGTCTGTGCCTGGTGCCATTGCTACGCTGGGGAAGGGAGGACACTGTGTAATTACTTCACATGGTGAGACTAATGAGTCCCTGGTTCTTTCCTTTCCCACATCAATCCCTGTTCACACGCTGTCTGCCCCAGGCTTATACTGTGACCAGCAGGCGAATCCCCTCACCTTGTGTTAGGCTTGATAAAGAAGCAGGATGAAAAGCTCTGTCTCTGAGAGATAAGACAGATGGGCTGGGTGAATTCAGGGATTGATCTTCTCTTTTCACCTCTGCCCCGTTTTTCAGCTTTGTTCCAAACCTGCCCCTAGCATCAGGCTACCTGCCTGCCCGTCTCCCTGCTGGAGGCTTTGTTCTCCTCCTCAGCCCCTGGATCCTTCCTCTCAGGGTTTTTTTTTTAAATTTTTTTCCCCCCCCTCCCCTCTCTTCCCTTAGCCTGAAGCTTCAGGCAAGTAGTGGAGCGAGCAGCTTCCTTTCCTGGTTTCCCTCTCCTCCTGATGGCTGATAAATGAGGCTGTATTTGTTCCAGTGCAGAGTGAAATATGAAATCCCATAAAGCCGCCTCACTTATTAGATAGATCTCAGCGAGCTGCTTATTATGCACTGTGGCGTAATGCAGATTACAAATGTGACCAAGCAATAATTAGCAGAGCTGGAACTGTAATTAAACGCTCCTGTGCTGCACTGTGGTTTCTGTTGCAAAGTGGAAGGAAGCCGAGCAGTTTCAAAACCCCCAGGTGCCCCTTCCTTTCCGCCGCACGCACAAACAAGTGATCAGCCACTGCTCCCAGGCACTGGTGAGTCAGGGGCGCCTGGGGGTGACCATTCCCCCAACACTCACTTTCTTCCAGGCTTGCTGCTGTCATCTGAGTAGAGCCAGCTATACATGGTTCCTCTCCAGATATTTCAATCCAGGAGATTGGCTTTAAGTTGCTAAGCAGATTGGAGTTGGAGGCAGCCCCTTCAAGCTTCAGGGAGCTTGGTTTTCAGGAGCCAAGCGCTTTCTGGAGCTCCTGCCCTAGGTCCCAGCAATGCCCCAAGGGACCAGCTGTGGGTGTGCAGGGAGGTCCCCTTCCCTTCATGGGGATCAGTGCTACCTCTTGGCAGCGCAGGCAGTGCAGCACCTCCAGGCTTTTTTTTCCCCTTGCAGGCACTATGCCTGTATCTCAAATCCTGCCCTGTGAAATGGGAATGAAATGGGCTCAGGCAGTACAAGCATGACCACAGCAAGTGCCTCTCTGAGCCAGTGCTAGGACATGAAAGCCAAGGAATGAGATCCTGACGAATCTGATCTTTCCAGTGGGAGTTCAGGGCTGGTGTTAGGTTGGGAAAGGAGCCTGAGGAAGAGGCAGCACACAGGCGTGGGCTCTGCCGCTGGCTGGGGAGAGATGTGTGGCTCAGTCACTGTTGATTAAACCTCTAGGTTGGCTTTAATGCTTATTGGACTGGATTCGCTCTGATGAGCTGTCCAGACGGAGGACATACGCAGGAGGACAAGGAGCTGACTGCAGGCGAGCAGGCAGAAGACACTCTGTACGCTGCAGTGTTAACATGGCTGGAATGGCAAATCTGTTCCCGTTGCTCCACTCCATGAGACCCCTGGTAACAAGGGTCATGGTTGTTTCCTCTGTTAGCATGGAACAAGCTTGTGCTTTTACCACCATTGTGCCTGTGGGTGGTGGGGGAGGCAGTGCAATCCACTGCCTTAGAAATAATCCCTTCACATCCTGCTCCTTCAGAGGGGCACTCCAGCATGCCAGCTGGTTCCTTCTCCCACCCCTCACTTAGCTTGTGCACACTGGGACTCCAGGGGTGCTTGGCAGAGTGCTAGTTACTGGCTGAATCTACACGCACATCTCTGACCTGGAGGGCTAGGTGTGAGAGATGGGGAGCTCTGGCCACACAGCCTGCGGAGGTCACATGGGAGCACACGAGCTCGGTAGAGCTGATGTGACAGACAAGATTCAACACGAAGGCTTCCACTCCAGCTAATTGCTTCATAAAAAGGCAGGCTTAGTGAAGGACTCTGTGTGTGCGTGAGAGAGAGAACAAGCAGATAAGGCTAATGTTTTGGCAGTTGTTCAGGGCCCAGAATTAGTCTGAATGGGAGTGTGAACATTTTGTGGCTGTCGACAGCATTGTTCCACATATAGCGATGACTCTGCGGTTGGAAATGCTTGTGGTGCCAGGACACCTCCTGGCTAGTGGCTTGGAGTTATTTGCTTCCGCCTCTCTGGGGCTGGCTATGGCCAGCCAAGCTTCCCTTGCATCTAGCTTCAGGCACTGCTCCCAGGGCCATGATAGGTTTGTGCCAAGCAGCAGACTGTGACAGGGGCATCTTTTGACATAATTCAGAGCTGGATGCTGGGGAGAGTCTTCCCCTGAGTGCCTTGTATTCCCGTGCCTGAACTCATTGGTGACTGAAGCAGCAGTACTGCCTGCAGCTACTTTGAGCCTGCTCAGCATCCAACCAAGATCAGAAGGCCTGCCCTGGGGGAGGAGAGCTAAGCAGAGTTTAAATAGTCAGCGTGAGTACTGCTGTGAGTCTCTGTTGCTGGATGTGGCTGGGGGCTTGATTCAGGGCGGGTGGGAAGGGTGCTTCTCTGGTCAGGGTTAAGATGATGATCTGAACTTTCCTGGCAATGGAGATGTATGTATCTATGCTCCCCTTGGGCTGGCATTGTGGGCAGGTCTCTGATATATAGCAGCCTCTGAGGCCCAGCTGCTCCCTTTCATGACATGACACTGGACCAGTGAATACTGGGTGGGGTGGCTCATTAGTCCACTTGCCCATCCTGAGTGAGTGTCAGCATCACAGCTGCTGAGAATCTGGCTTATTGAAGATGGGGTGGAGGTGGCCCCAGGGCTTGGCTGTACTCAGCCCTGTTCAGCTCTGAGCTGTTTGCTTTCTACACAGACCTAGCCTAGCTTTGGCACTGAGGAAGCTGCTTTTGAGTGCAAGGGAAGCAAGATGACTGACAGTGACCTTGCCTGCAGCGTTCAGCTCTGCCACCAGATCCCCGCTGGCTGTTTTCTGTCTGGATGGGTCCTGCATGCATCTTGGCATAGAAGGGGGATATTTGGGATGCAGTCTACAAGCACCCACCATGTAGGTAGCTGGGAGTCCATCTATCCTTGAGGGGAGCTGGAGGGAGGCTGTGATTATGGAGTGGGCAGCTGAAGGTACTGGCTGCCTTCCCTGTCCTGCCCTTCCCTGCCAGCCTGGTAGTGTCCTGTGGTAGAGGGCTGTTAGATGCAGGGTCATTCTGCCTGCCTTTATGCCTCTTAACAAAGCAAGCAATGTGTGGGATCCGGTGCTCTGAAGACTGTTCATGTACTGAAGTTTTAGGATGGGTGCTCAGGTGAGTGAGAGCTGCTACAGCTGAGCAAGTGAGCATGGGTCTTTGGCTGAAGCATGTTGGATTTGGCCTAGATGGATGCTATAAAAAGGGTAGCTTTTTGGTGATACAGGAATCATGGGCAAATTGGGGCTGGAAAAGTCTTACCGGGTCCTTGGTCTGTAGTTTAGGATGTCTGGGATATGAAGCCCCTGCTAGCAAACAGGCAGGCTCTCACAGCAGCATAGGAATAGGGGGTAGGGACCTGTACTGTTGTGTCAGGAGTGTGGGAGAGAGGCTTGTTGCTTTGCTTTCTCCTCTGCACATTCTCCAGTTCTAACGAGCATATTTCTCTTTCCCCACAGATGGAGTCTCCGGTCTCCACCCCCGCGGTACTGCCACTGCACCTCCTTGTCCCTGTTGTCAATAACGACATCTCCTCCCCATGTGAGCAGATCATGGTACGCACCCGCTCGGTGGGGGTGAACACATGTGACGTAGCATTGGCTACTGAGCCAGAATGTCTGGGCCCCTGTGAACCCGGGACCAGCGTCAACCTGGAGGGCATTGTCTGGCAGGAAACGGAAGATGGTAAGTGCTGTCTGAGAGCTGGTTTTCCCTTTTTCCATCACGGATAGACTGTGCTTTTATAATGATTTCCCTTCCCACTCAGGGTGGTGGTTGCAAAGTGTGTACAACATCCCTGTCCCTTGCTCTCTATGTTAGCACCAGTCTTCCAGGCATAGGAGGGCTTGGCGTTATTGTGCAGGATATTAGCTGAGACCATGGTAGTTTTGAGGGCACAACTCAAGGGTGGCACAGTAGATCCAACAGCATGCAACAGTCTTCACTGACTGTTGTTTTATGTCATTGCCCAGCTTGCACACTAAAATGTCTAGCAGATGTGTGCGCTTTTGTCAAAGAGTTAATCATTTAAAGAAGGGAAAGGAGAAAGAACTAAATGAGGTGCCTTCCATATCTTCAAACTTGGCTTTGATCATACAATCAAATCTATGCCATGTCCACACGAGTCTCTGGCTGGGTAGTTAGCCCCATCAGAGCTCTTAGAACAGGGCCTACAGAAGATCAGGGCCCTTCAATTGTTATTGTTCAGCCAAGCAGTTGGCACTCATCTGTGCTTCTGCGCAAGTAGTTCATTTATGTTCCCGGTTCAGGAGGCTTGGTCTTTAGTAGTTACTGGACCCCAGCATTCCTCTCACTGGTTGTCAGGGAATGCAGAGCTCTGTTTTCTCCTGATACAAGCATCATTACACTGAACCTCTGAGCCTGCTGTTGTCCTTTGGCTACATAGAAGCTTGTCAGTTTTGGAAGTGGAGGGCTGAGTTCAGGCCAGACCTGTAAGTTTACTCCTTTCCTATGGCAGCAGGAAGCAGCTAGGGTTTCATGGAGGTAAGGGAGTGGATTTCCCCTGGACATTTGTAGATCTAGAAGTGGGGCGTGCACCAGGAATCTATGGGAGAGGATTTGTAGAAACAGAGCCTTGCTGAGGTTACAGAGGTTCACTCTCTGTACGCCAGGTCCCAGTCTCCCAAGTGCTGGTATTGATGTTACCTTCTACTTGCTGGTTAGCAGGTTTAGCAGCTTTCCTCATGACTTTTGCATTTGCCCTGTTCAAGAAATTCTGGATTTGTCTTTTACAAACTGGCCTTGAGGCATTTGAAATGAAGGTTACATCTGCTGCAGGCAGTATCCAGCAAATGAATGTTGGGGGTGAATCTTGCTGTGCAGAAATAAGCACCAGACCATACTTTTTTTATCCACACATCACATCGAGCTGAGGATCTCCAAATAGTCTTCCTGGTGACAGATAATTTGTGTCCTGCTTCTAGACAAATGAGAGAAACCATGGCTAGTGCTTTTCACCTAGCATTTTTGGTCTAAGCAGGAATTGGGAAACAGAGCAAGAACCCTGAGTCACAAACATTAGCTGCAACAGGGTTATGGGAATGGGAGAAGTTAATTAACAATTGGTCACTTCAGAAACACGTGAAGATTAGGACATTTAAGGCCCTCTGACATCTGCTCTTCTGTTGTTGTGGAGGGGTTAACTGCATGGGACTGCTGCTCCCTTTCTGCATATTCCCTCAAGCTGGGCTCTTGCAGCTGCTCTTCCTGAAGCTCTCTTCGTTATCTTGAATGATCATTAAAGCTGAACCTAAACCCATATTTCCATCAGCAGGCGTATGCTGCTGTCACTCGGCCAGATGTTGCTTGTGTAAAGCTCCCAGCCACGCAAGCAGATGTTACAAAACACACCTACAACTTTTGTGTAACTTTGCAGCTGGAGTTCACCTCGCTGTGGCAACTTTAAGTGCATCCGGTGATCCATGGTGAAATAAGCTATTTTTTCTCATCAGCTATGTGTAAGGGTTGGGCCAAGGTTGGGCCTGACTCCCCCCGGTCCATTTTTTTCATATAGGCTTGGCTTAGGACTGAGTGGTATAATGGCTTCAGACACGGAGCTGATTAGAATGGAAATGGTTCTATGTTGGACTTGTGTCAAGAGCTGAAGTAGCTGGGTGGGGAGGAACCTCGGTGGCGAATCACCCGACAGTCCATGTCCCAGGGGATCCTGACTTACAGTGGTAGTTTTTGTTTCATGCTTGTGCTTGGGTCAGGAAACATCAACTGTCCTTGTCCACTGTGTCCCCACCCCTGTGCTCTGCATACTTGTGTGCTTGGAAGATTTCATTGGATTCATGGGCAGCTGGGCATTGGATCTGGCTTTCCCACCACATCTGAGGAAGGCAGGAGCAGCAGTGCTGAAAATGGCCTTTGGGGGATTCCTCCTTTATCAGCTAGTGTGGCTGGTGGGGGGCAGGAAACGGCCTGCAGGGTTAGGAGCCTTGATTGTGAATGTGGCATGTGCTTGCAGGAGTGAAAATACAGTGATGGTGTGAGAACCAGCTGTGCTGCTGACTGCCCTGTCCATGCCAGGGTCATAGGATCAGACTGGGGAAAACAAGGTACACTTGCTTTGAGGGGCTGGGTGGTACTTTTGAAAGCATTTGTCTAGCGGCCCTGTTCTAGCCATGTGAAGCAGCCTTCATTCCCCCTTACTTTCCCTTTTTAGTCTGCTTGAGCCATTGCCTGGTTTCTCTGTATGGGTTTGCATGATCAGAGAGAGAAACATTGCCTCTCAGTTCAGAAAATCCTTCTGCTCTTGTGTTATGGCCTTGGTGTCCAGCAGTGTGGTCTCTCTGTGTTAGATCTGTTCTGTCTGTGGTACTTGTGTGACCTCTATCACTGTAGTACCTGAGCACCAGCTTTAATGCATTTACCCAACAAGGCAGGGATTACACAGCTGGGGAGAAAGGCTAAGTAATCTCCACATCCTGGGCTAGTGCTGTAACAACTGGCCTATCTTCCTCTCTGGCTATCTACAGCATCCTGACCCATACCTGAAAGTCCAAAAGAAACCTGGGTTTGGGATTCTGCAGGTGTGTTGTGTAAACCCCATTGCTCCCCTCATTTGGGACAGCAGGGAATCAGTGTCCAGCTGGGGTTGCAAGACCCAGTGGCGAAGAATGAACAGTCCCTCGTGCACATTATTGAGCAAGGGAGCTGGAGATGTTGATATCTGGAGGACATGAACTTTAGTTTAAAAGACCTTAAGCGTCCAGCTTCTGCTCTGGCAAAGAAAGCTGTTCCAGTCTGACCTACTGTGCTGTGGTCTGCCCAAGCCTGCAGAGAGACCCTGTCGCTCTGCTGTTTTTTCCAAAGCTGCAGCAGCATGAAATTACTGAGACTGCTTGGTTTTTTTGCTGCTGTGCAGGCTCCTGTGGGCAGCAGGGAAACAGGCAAGAACTGGGAACTCCTGCTTTTTTATATTGGCAAGGTGGAGAGCCAGGGGAGGGGAGAGCATGAAGAGAGGCTGGAAGGGGGGATGATCCATGAGGCCACCCACTTCAGTGGCAGCCAGAGGGCTAAGGGAGAATCACTGCCTTTCTCCCACCCATGCTTCTTCCATCCCACCCCCTGGGGTGGGGAAGAGACAGAATCAAGCTCCTCATTTTTTTTTTTTTTCTGGAGCCAAATGGGTTTCACATTCATCAGCCCCCTGTTAGGAAGATGGAGCCCCTTGAGCAGCAGCAGCTGAGAACCTTGCCAAGGAGCAGAAGGTCTCCATGTGCCACAGCCTCTCTCCTGAGCTGAGGCACTGCAGCTCTTTTTCCTCACAGTTCCTGGACACCTTGTAAAATGTTCAAGTGTAGATTGCTTCACACAGCTCTGTGATCCTTCAAAGAGAGTGATGGCACCAGTCTCCCGGCTCCCCCTGAATCAGCTGAGCAATGGTCACTTTCACTACACTGCTGATTTCCCTTCCCTCCCTTCTTCTCCCCCCTTCCATCAGGTTTCAGCTCCTCCTTTCCCATCAGTGCCTAGTGTTTCTTTTGCCCCCCTCCCACTCATCCCTTCTCTCCTGCCTCACCAATCTGTGCAGCTCTGCAGCCCACCTGCTTGTCCTGCCACATTATCCTTTTCTTTTGCAGCTATCGGTTCAGACCGTGCCTCAGAGGCATTCCGTGGCTCCTGCCGCTTGCCTATTTTTAGTCTATAGTAATTCAATGAACATGTGCAAAAATCCTTCCCCGCCTGGCTCTGCCGGCTGCCGCTTGGTTCCTGCTGTCATTTCCGACGGCTCCTGCAGCGTGCCCTGCGCTCCTGTCATGCACGGTTCAGGTCCTCTTGTTTCCTTTGGTCGATTCCAGTCATCTCTGTAGTGTTGCCCTAGTGTGCGTCTAGCAGAACCTACCTT